CGCCGCTCACCCCGAGGAGGATGATGGCGGTCAAAGACCACCGGGAAGAGGTGAGACTCGCCGTGCCAATTAAATAATCCCGAAGTCGTGTGTTTCGCGTTGACTTCAAATTACGCGGTTGTCGCAATAATTAATATTTTCGTCAGGGTATCGGTTTTATCACAAAAAATGCTCCGAGACTCGTATAAATATTTCTTAAAAAATTTTTTTTCTTAATATCTAAGTACGATTTTTAATTTATATGGCAATAGACGGCTAAATGGAATCTTTTAGAAAATTAGTCAACCTGCTGTGCTCAAGATGTTTTTGAAAAAAACCGAAACACAGCTTTTTCGTTCAACGCGCGAAATATGCGAAATTGTGAGACGTGCTCGTACAGGGTTAACGTACAAGATTTATCGCGGGCTCGAGAACACAATTAGGGGAGATTAATAATCAAGTGTGCGACTTCAAAAGGCACGGTGTTTGAAACAGCGTTTCTACCCCCTCGAGGGATATCATTCGCGTGACCGCATGGAGCTGCGCGGTAGAAATGAAGTTTCTTTGTGTCCCAACCGGAGGTTTAATTAATTTCGTAATTGGAAGAAGCGCCTTCGTCTGGAGTGGACGACTAAACCGCGCGCGGGTTTTTTTTTCCCCTCCCTTTTTGTTCCGCTCGCTGAAATTCCGTCGGTGCGATTCTTCTGGGTAACGGGAAACGGTTGACCGAAATAACCAAATTACCGCGTGGCGGAAGACACACGACTTCCGAGGGAGTGGGGAAGGGAGGGGGAAGAGGAATAAGCCGGACGGCAAAAAAATCGCAACACAGACCCCGCCGTGAAATTGATTTACATCGGACGATCCCGATCGTCGTTTCTCCCGCAATCCGTTTTGATCAAGCAGCCATTTAAATTTCCCTGTGCGTTAAGCGACGCCTCGTCCTCTGTGTTTCCGACAAACAGCGGAGGGATGGGTAGGGGTAAATCAGTTTACTCAATCGCAGTTCGGTGGCCGGCAGTAGCTCACCGAGACTCGCTGCGGCACCGTTTAATTCACTTTGGTCCTGAACTCGAAATTGAAATTGGCCCGAATACGGGCGCACCGGTGAACCGAAAATATCTTTGTGGCAACCGCGCGCACCGGGAACGAAAACAATTTCGACGTACGTTACGGGGCAAAATCCAGTTACTCCGCGCACGGGAGGGTACGGTGTCGTCGAACGCCGGAAGACTTTCATATTTCGATAAATAAAAGTCTCGTTTGTAAGCAGATCCCGATATGCAAACGGCACGGAACGGATCCTCTTTAGGATATAGCGCACATGTTAAGAGTCGCGACGCGACGGGAGTCCCAAGCAGAACAACAGGTCGCGATAACGTCAAGATGACGTTATGGGTGAATCGTGACTGATCGAGAAGTGACTTTTAATAATCAATTTGTTGCCATTTTGTTGCCATTTTGATGTCACGATGACTCTTTGTTCTGCTCGGAGTGTGTCCCTGAATTGCCAATCTTCAACGTAAGATCTAAGTCTCTCCCCTGCACGCGTACCATTGTTTTACGCTTTATCTTACAATTAACTTTCGCATTTATTAGCTTCTTTTTAGAGATACTTTGTAACGTCGCGACCCAGTTTTCAAAAATGCACCCTACGTATTCCGTTTGTATGATGCTCTCACGGGTTTTCTTTGTCCACGCATACACACAGGGTGCACATAATAAAGCGTCTACCTGTAATTGTGTTACTACCGACTACCGTGCTACCATTGCTCTGCAACGTGTGTCTCCGTTAAATATTTCACAGGCACCGAGCTCCTCACGCTCACGGTCTCCCTTCTGTTGCAGGTTAATCAGCCCAACTTTACCTCAAACGTGACCTGATTCCGAGCCAGCTTGCCATGGACAGAACCCGACCCCGAGCTTTCGAAACGCAAACACATAAAAATAAATATAGTGTGGTATATTAATCTAGGATACAAACGTAACACGAAGACAAGGCATGAGACACCGGTATATAATAAGCTATGTATTCCCGAGATGATTCTTTATCTTACCTTGTATAGATGAAAAAAAAAAAAGAAATAAAGCGCACTGTTCAGCAGTTTCACCGAGGGAGAGATGCCCGTGCCCCCACGATGCACGCGCGCCCGTCTTCCGCACGCAAGAAAACGAGTATACGACACGCGCGTGCGAACCGTTTACGCGTGCGTCGAACGTTAATAGTATAATATGTATACTTAACTTGTGATTTTTGTATATAAATAAAAGCGTTTTGCCCAAGTTGGAAATATCTTAATGTAACTATCGTTGCTTCCACCTTTGTCTTCCACCCGCCACACATCCCTTCTCTTCTGCTGGAAAGGAAATTAATGACATAACAATCAAGTTTGTTAAACTCATTGTCAGAATTATTTCTCCAAATGTTACATATTACTTTTTACATTTATTAACGATAACATATTTGGATTTTATGTTACTCTTAGAAATTTTCTTTCTTTTTTGCATTAAAACTTTTTCTTATGGATTTATTTTCTTTTTTTTTTATCGTATAGTATTGTCTGGGAGTAGAGTTCGTAAAGAAGTTTAAGAGGAAATCGCGCAAGCGCTCCTTGGAATAATTCGTGAGCCATTTTCAGTTGTTTACGAGAATGTTCTCCAACGTGCGTTCTCCAACAGTGTCGCGCGTTCCTCGATCTGTTATTTAGATATCGGACCTGATCTTAGGAAACTATACGTGCGCGCGAATAATTTTACGAGGAGGAGGACACGAAGAGAAGAGGCTCCTCGCTTCACATATGCTTCACATAAAACCTACCGTAAAAACGACAAGTATGAGCAAATGCTAAATAATCGTCAGAACGCGCGCGCGTTTTACGCCGTAAAAAATGTTTCCTCTTCGTGCCGCTCGCGCTCGCTCTCGTGGCGCAGAAAGGTCAAAAACTGCAAGTACGTCTTCGGCATCGCGCCGTTATTATGCAATTTTGCCTCGTGCAGATTTTCAATCTGCCCAACCTCCAAGGAGTAAATGTTACACCGTCGCGCGCAGGCGAGCGCCCGCCGAGCAATACCTGCCAGCGGAGGTCTCACTTTAACAATGAGCGTTAAATAAAAAGGCCGATATCTCGCGTCGCGCGAGTATTGCTGTAAGCACAAAGAGTGTCGCGGGAAATCTCTGACTTCGATTTTAACGATCCTTCCACGAAATATAATCGCTGCGATACGCGTATCCTGTTACGGGTATCAGGTACATTTATGGCGACTGACAAGGTAATTCAATAGTGAGTAATGAAACTGTGTTACGCAAGCGAGATCGAAGAAAACCGCTAAAATGAAACGTCCAGTCAACATGACATAATTCTTTCTGTGTAATAACACATTCGCATTTACCTACATCATTTCGATAATAAATAGCCGTTTCGATTATCCCGCTTTCGTCAAGCTTTTGTGTTTTTCGTCGCAGCTCGAGTATGCGCGGCGCACATTTGCATAAATCAAACGTTTCTAAAGGAATCTAATAGACTTCAAATATTATAATTACATTGTTTTTAATTTTTTAGTTGCAAATCGTTTCGATAATTGCAAAAAGCTGTTTTAAATAATTTTCTTATAAGATTGATTAATTTTTAACGAAAAATAAACGATTAATGATATTTTCCAATAATATCTATTGTAATATTTTAAATAGAAACCGATTATCGATTAAAATTGAGAATTGACGAGCAAAAAAAGTAACTTTCAAAAGTAACTTTTAGCAACTAAAAATAATTTCGAATTATTAAGGAATGAAGATCAATCTCACTATTCCAACTTCAGCTAATAATTGCGTTCAAGCCCGACATTGATTCGGTGCTGGCAGTTTAAATTGGCTGAATAATTAAAGAAAATTAAAAAAAGAAATTCATATAGAATTTATTAGACACTAAGACCCAGTCACCGAAGAAAGCGCTTTCAAATTTATTTGTAAAGCTATATTCTTTGCAGTTCCAAATTTATGTAAAATTTACATATATGTTTTCTAAAAAAATTGTCATCCCAATAAACATTGATTTTAAAATTTATTGAGGCTTAATTTCTGTATCTTTTTTGGACTTTGTGTATTTTTAGAAAAAAAAAGAAATCAAAGAAAACATACGAATTGACTTTAAATTAATATTTCCGAAAGCAGCGCTTAATAGTTTATATAACAATAAATGTGCGGAAAACGTGTCTCATTGTCAGTGGAATGGGATCGAATAAATTCTTAAGAGACTTAAACGGCATATATCAGTTAATCAACGCTTAATAAAAGACGTGGTTATAAAAAGGATATAAATGACCGTAAAAAAGCTGGATGTACACGAAAATTGCAACAAAAGGATCCCGCGCGCGCGGGGATAAACGAGCTAACGACCCATCGTACGTCGCAGCTGTCGGGGCGTTAACGATAAAAAATCAGCCGAGTGCAATGCACATCGATCGCGAAAGGAATTCCCGAGGAAAAACGAGTGGGTATACAACGCACGTTTTCAAAGGTTAAAACACTATGTGCATTTGCTGCAACGTACTTGAACTCTGTATCCATTTATGCATCTTTGTGTATGGGAGCACGCGCGAGCAACCGCTTAACGGTTTGTAAAAAACTCTTTTTTTTTTAAATCTCATCCAAAGCTTTATAAAGTTTAAAGAGAATTTGGAGAACTTGCACTATAATTGCACGTAGAATCTCCGCTTACGTGATATTGCAATATCTCTTTTTTTTGCTGATCCCAGAAAATAATCGTCTGAAACGTTAGTGATAAATTAAGGATAACGAGAGGAATTAAAAGTGATGAAAACGCAGCGCGGCAGAAGCGCAGAACTTCCGATTTCGAATCGCGGCGCGCGGCGTAAAGGCTCACGGGGTATGCAAGCGTTTCTTTTGCGGTATGCATCGGTCTATAATAAAGGTTCGAACCGGTATCATCGTGGCATTTGAAGTAATGCGCCGATAGCACAGGGCACTGCTATCTATAAAAGGAGGACGCGGCGGATAAACGCTCGTCAGTAGTACCGTGCACGCAATATCTGGAAAACGAAGCAGTTGAGGTAAGAGTCTCGGCGAAGTCTCGCCTGTCAGTCAAGTCTCAAACGGCGCTACGTTGCAACCGTCGTTCCTTTGCATGTAATAATTATCCAACAAGCTTAAACAATTTTTGAAATTATTTGGAACGCATTTCTCATTTACCATTTCAAATTACGTCTGCACACACAGTTTTTACACAAAAAATTCGATATGTTAGATCAATACTGGACAAAAAAAAAAGTCAATCTCCGTAAGTCGCAAGTTTATAATTCTCGTGCTTCATTTCCGATATTGCATTTATAAATTCTTTTTATTGCTTTATATAAATTTTGCATTTATTCATTTATATTTTGTTGTTTGGAAAGCGCATTGTAGATCATGTTTGGCAATATAAATTTTTATACAAAATTTATAAATCACGCGCGCAACAGCAGATACACGGCTAGCAGTGCGGGCGTTAGACGAATCTCTAATCCACCTTCGATCCTGCCCAGGATGAATCCGCATTTAATTATCTTGCTGAGCCTGGCGGCAATGATATCGGGCCAACGAGCAAACGAGCCGATAGCCATCGTCAGGCAGGAGCAGGACATCAGCCCGGACGGTAGCTACTTTCTGAAATGGGAGAGCGCCAACGGGATTACCTTCGAGGAGCAGGGCGTCCAGAAGAATTCGGGCCAGAAGGACAAGGAGGCCGAGGAGGTGCGCGGCTCGGCGTCCTGGACCGCGCCCGACGGGCAGAAATTTAATATCGGCTGGCTGGCAGACGAGAACGGCGCCGTTTTCCAAGGTGCGCATCTGCCGACACCGCCGCCCACGCCGGCAATCCCGCCTGCCATCCAACGCGCCCTCGAATGGATAGCCGCTCACCCTTACCAGGAGGAAAGAAACAAAGTGTAAACTGATGCAACTCTCGCTACAGACACATTGAAGAATCGTACTTCACTTGCGTACGTTTAGCTTGGCGTCAAATGTAGAAAAGACAAGTTTGTATAAAAATTTCGTATGCCGAGGAAAGATGTGACTTAATTCCCGATTCCTCGTCTCAACCACTCTTATATTGTTTCTCACGAATATAAAATAATATAATATTATATATATAAATATATATATTCTGTTTTAAGTGTACCCAACGTGCGACCAATTGCGATAATTGTGATATTGAATTGTGTGTTGGGATAAATGCGATATTGAAAGATTTGATTGAGGAGAGATAAACTCTTGTCAGTTATAAAATCATCAAATATATTACGAGATCTTTAAGACAAACGCTATCAATTATATTATTGGAAAATATTGCGTTGTCGTGTTTACTTCAATATTCGCAATTATCCCGGTTAGCTATAATTTAAACAATTCTATCAATCGGATTAACCGTAGACAAATATGCAGAGAGAGTTATTGGTTTAAGAGCAGAACATCTTGTAAGTCAATAAAAACCTCAGAATATTCACATATACGTCTAACAATATATAAATCTACAAGTACACGAATGCAAATTTATCCGTTGACTTCGGAGATGTGCGCAAAAAATAGTTATATTATACATCATGAAGAAATTCTAATTCTGTAATCAGATATTTATTTTTAACTCATTGCCAATCCCAGAAGGATTCTAGCTAAAAATATATTATTGCCTCTCAACAGCGCAGACACATTTCTGATAGTTAAACAATTGGAGGGGAGGTGGAAGCAAATATTTGTTCTTTCGCGACGTAGAGCCGCTTTCTTCGCCTACTTTGTTAGAGAATTCGCAAGAATATTCCGAGAACGGCTACTTGACGTGAGACTAGCAAACTCACTCAAGTTGAATGTGGACAGACGACTATGCGGTAATAGAAAAATCGAGGTCAAAAATGGTCATTGCGACGAAGGAGGAAGACAGATCGTTATGTAAGCGAATGATAGCGAGAGTTCTTGCTGTCAAGACTACACCGTCTTCTCGAAACCGGAGATAATTCAACGAGACAGTTCAAGCAGCAGGACTATTGCACTAAAATGCGCATTGTGAATCGGCTTTCATGTTACTTTTGTTAAGTTCTCATTTTGTCAATAATTCTACATTAAAATATTAAAATAAATTAAATTGATAATCGAATCTAAAACAAAAAATTAAAAATTTGAAAATTCTGAGAAATGTCTTTTAGTTTAATTCTAAAATTATTTAATTAATAAAATATAAACAGTTTAAAATTATTTAATTAATATAATATAAATAATTAATTAAAATATTAACTATTAAATATAAACAGTTGAAAATTATTTAATTAATAAAATATTAAAAGTTTATATTACATTATGCATAAATATTGTGTTAACATTTATGCGGCAATTGACGTTTCGCGTTATTACTCGCTCAAGTTAAATGTGCGAATACAAATAGACTAATCTCATCAATGATTCATCTACTTCGTCAACCTTTTTGTGTTTCTCTTCTTTATCTTTACTTTATTCCCTGCCTTTTTTTCATTAAAAATGGTTATAGTCGTCAAAGTGAACGCACACGTAAACAAACATGACTGCTCGTTCTGCGGAAATATTCACATACACCAATTATAACGTTAAATTGTTTACGGAGGTGCGCGTATATATACATATATATATGTATATATGTTCCGTCCGCGTTTCGCCCCACCGCGTTTAATTTGATAATTAATACCAAGCGGCCGCTTCATAATTCGGTTATAAATTCCGCGAATCATGTTTCTTGATTGCGGCAGCAATTTCGATTCGACGGCACGATCATAATCGGTATTTGTTGAATCGCGAGCGCAAATAAGACTGCGATAGATGGAATTAATCGAGGCCGGATAATCGAATTTATTGTGTACTATTAATAAACATTATGAGTCGCCGGCGATATCACGCCGATGTATCGCCGATACGCGCATCCTAATACGCATTCAGATTAATATTTTGACAAATGCGAAATTGTTATAATATTTGTGAATTATAGCGACGAACGCGATAGCGCGCGCCAGCAGGTATACGTTTTCTGCTATAAGTGCT